AGAGAGAGAGAGAGAGAGAGAGAGAGAGAGAGAGAGAGAGAGAGAGAGAGAGAGAGAGAGAGGGCAGGGATCGGGACTAGGGGGAGAAAGGGGATGTGGGCGGACTGATAGTGGGAAGTGTGTGCAAGCCATGGCTGGGCCTCTAGGAATGGCAGAGATGCGGCGGCTTCGATCTCATTAGGGCATATACTGACACTACGGGAGGACTTTTCTCTGGACGTAATTGTGGTCAGATACGTGCAGGAGTAGCCGTAATCCCGGTCAGGTACGTTCCGGAGAGAGCCCTAATGTGAGTATGCCGTCAAGCGTGAATGGACCGCACTGCGAGTATGGGTACCGCAAAGAAACCACCCTCCCCTCTTCCTCCCCCTCCGCCCCCCCCCCCGAGCAACAATGCACACTGATCCTGAATGTGTACTAGCGCTCTTTCCGGTCCGATGCAGTCATGATGAGGGTGCATTGTGTGTTCAGGGCAAGACCAGCAGCAGCAGCCCGTGAAAGCTAAGCTTAAAAATAGATAAATAAATAAATAAATAATTAAATAAATAAATAAATAAAAAAGAAGGAAAAAAAAAGCATGTCATTCTGATCTGGTTCTGACCTGCAGGCTCACAGCCACCCTGCCAGCTACGTAGGCTTTGGACCCCGGTGGGACTTGGGACAGAAATGGGGGTGGGAGTGGAACCAGGCCCAGTCCCACCCCCATTTCTGTCCCAAGTCCCACCGGTGGTAAGGACCGACTGGACCAGCGCGGGATCATTTGTGATCTAGTCGGTACCACCATTGTGGGACCAGTGCGGGACCATTTCTGTACCATCAACCCCACTGGTATCACTGGTGGTACCGACAAGACCAGAAATGGTCCCGCGCTGGTGGTATCGACAAGATCGAAAGTGGTCTCGCACTGGTCCCAGCCAAGTGGGACTGACAGACCTGAAATGGTCGCTCATTGGTCCCACATTGCTGGTATTGACCAGCAGTTTGGGACCAGTGCGGGGGCACTTCTTTCCCCCGTCCCAGTTGCACCTCAGTGATGGTACGTACCAGATCAGAAATGGTCCCGCACTGGTCCCATACTGCTGGTGGTACCGACCGCACCAGAAATGGTCCCACCCTGGTCCAACATTGTCCCACAGTGGTCCCACACTGGTGGTGCCGACCAGATCAGAAATGGTCCCGCACTGGTCCCATTCTGCTGGTACCGACCGGACCAGAAATGGTCCTACCCTGGTCCCACAGTGGTCCCACAGTGGTCCCACAGTGGTCGCACACTTGTGGTGCCGACCAGATCGGAAATGGTCCCGCATTTGTCCCACGCTGGCGGCACCGACCACCAGTGTTGGACCATTCTATGCCACCGGTCCAACAGGTACCCGTGGTACGGACATGCGAGAAAGAAATGGTCTGGTCCCACACTGGTCTCTCACTGGTGATGCCGAGCTGTGGGATTACCGTATAGGGACCCCACACCGGTTCCCCCAGTCTGGAACCGCTCTGCAGATTCAGTCTGTATTGACTGTGGAGTCCATTGGGGGGGAAGAAGGTAGGCTTTCCCCTAACTCACTCATATTGTATGTGTACTGGTTCAAAAGTTCATTTGATTGATTGATTGATTGATTGATTGATTGATTGATTGATTGATTGATTGATTGATTCAATTGATTGATTGATTGATTGATGGATTGGTTACTTGATAACAGAATTGATTGATTGGTTAATTGCTTAAATAATTGATTGATTGATTGATTGGTTAATTGGTTAATTGATTGATTGATTGATTGATTGATTGATTGATTGATTGATTGATTGATTGATTGCATTCGGTTGTAAGTAATCACTCGTCCATGCATTCATTTAGTAAGTCCCTGGACTCTTTCGTTAGTTAAAGTGAATGGATCCAAGTTAATCCGAATGCAATCAATCAATCAATCAATCAATCAATCAACCACTCACTCAATCACTTTATGAGTCGGACTCATCACAGATCTTGGCCGTTAGACAGTAATGGACTTGAGTCTGTGTCCTCTGCCCCCCAACTCCATTACTGTCTAAAGGACTACGCGCCTTACATGGTGTGGGGTGTGCAAGGAGTGTCCTCTCCTTCTCGCAATTGCATTGCTCTGTCTACATGTCAATCCATCACACGATAGCCGTCTTGTCGTCACGCTAAGTACTGTATCGGACCGACAAGATGCACTGGGGATCCACTGTGGGACCTTATACATTGCACTACCATATACATTTCGCCTTCTCTCTCTCTCCCTCTCTCTCTCTCTCTCTCTCTCTCTCTCTCTCTCTCTCTCTCTCTCTCTCTCTCTCTCTCTCTCTCTCGTTCTCTCTCTCCAATGTTGCAGTTTTTGTC